ATCAGAGTCTCATTTCAAGGGAACGCTCCAAGCAAACTTTTAAAAAGACGCCTAACTCAAGCTGTGTCAGAGATCTTTCGAGAAGGTGGTCCCCGTGTACTGTTCTCCACTATTCCCATCCTATACGGAGAGGGCAAGGACAACCTGTCAGCTCAGAACACCTCAATGTGTATTTACCCCCTCACCTGCTCCTGCGGGGCAGAATATATTGGACGCACGAGCCGACGTTTGTCCCAAAAGACTAAAAGAACACCATCTAGCGTGCTTAGGAAAGAGTAAAATAAAGAACATCAGCTACCCTTTCCTCGCGCACATGGTCGACAGACTATCGAGACCAAAGAGGTCTACCGAGTCATTTACAAGGTTCTGTCAAGCTATCCAAAACTACTTGGGTAGCACCTGTTGGCTACGGCAGAGGCGGCTGCACTCAAGCTACGTGAACCGATCCAATGAGCACAGAAGAACTTCATACTCCAAAACTACTTGGGTAGCACCTGTTGGCTACGGCAGAGGCGGCTGCACTCAAGCTACGTGAACCGATCCAATGAGCACAGAAGAACTTCATACATGTCCCACAGTTGCCATGAATCAAAGCCACCAAGCTAGCCAGCCGCATATAATTACCTTTCCCGGGGCCCGTTTTCTCTCTAGAGCTGACTGGAATTTTTAATGTCCCACTCCCCCCTCCTAGAACCCGAGCTACAGCACGGTTGTCTACTTGCCGGTATCTTTTGGTTCACTATTTCAATAGCCATATAAATGTACAGGCCTGTATATAATTTATCGATAGGAGACATATGCTCGCCAAATTGTCTTTTGAATCTATCGTTTACTGTTTATGCATTAGCGTTTTGAAAGAGACGTTCTTAGATGTTTTGGATAAGGCCATGCGAATCACAGCTATTGCAATTACATTGCTATTTTTATCAGAGACTGACAGAATTTTAAACAATTTAAGCCTTACACGCTCAGAGGAGACGCAGAAAATAGACAGTTTGGGATAAACCAGAATATTGAGCGGGGTACTTTTCCCAAGATTTTAGAGGTAGTGTACGCGTTTTGATTGTATCGTTATGAACATCCTGTTTTGCACTGGGACTCCAATCCGGAGTCTCGAAGTGAAAATGACTATGGCTGTTTGATGATGGTGAAAATAAGCCAGGAATAGTGCAATCTCAGTTGTCTTTGTTTGTTGCTAAGCAACCGCCTGCAGTGATTGTATGTCGGAACCCAAAGACAAACGAAAGGTCCATTTCCGCAAAGTAATTATAAATGGGTTGACGCATAGAGAGATAACACGAAATTAATGACTCTCAGTAGCATACAATGATCTGAAACCACTTTTAGCACAATAAAGTCCAGTGGAACTGTGACAGACAAGGAGAGAGAGAATTTAATTTTTACTGCACATGTCGCAACCAGTCCGAAAAGTGTTGAAACTAGGCTGATTTATGTGCACCAGACATCGTTATCTTGACTAGTTAAGGCATAAGCGCCTACACAACGGCTGCGCCCAACAGCTGCGTTATGCGCGCATTAGCAAAGGGGAAGTCACCGTGTGGGAAAAGCGACGTTACCAAGCCAGTGTTAGCTTGACTGACGGGTAGGACTTGTGCGGACCAAGAGGCCTCCAACTTACTGTGCCATGGGGATTGAAAAGCGTGAAAGGCTGATCAGGGGTTGCAAAACCAATGGGTGGCTTTGGTGTGATGGTAACAAGGCTTCAATGCTCGCGAATAGATTCAATTTGAACATTCTTCCTAAGAAGCCTAATGCTTTACCTACGTTCACTTAATTGTGAAGAACCCAGTCGTTTTACACATGTACCCAGTGTGAGTAACAACCTTTGCACAAAGATATTTACTTTGTATGTGATCGTGGGAAGTAAGATTCCTATGACTACATGAAGTTCTAGTTTTAGAAGTACGAAAGAGTACATTCTTTGGTGAAATTTGGACTTATGAACAAAGCTCCGACCCTTTGCCTGTACAGACATGCCTATTTCAGCGTAATCCACTGCCAAATGAAATTAGAACAATGCTTACCCGTTAACTTTACGGATCATGACGTGTATACACTGGAAACGACGCTCGGAGACTTGAGGTCACGACTGCACAAGTGCAGTCATCAATTTCTAACTTGATTGGTCGTTCGGTTCGTGATTATAGTCTCTAACTCACGCTTCTACATTTGAATTGCATCCAAAGAGTCAGCAATTTTCTTTAGCATAGGCAATATGCCCCTGCATTGCAAAATATCTGATCAGTTTTCGTGTGGAACTTAGGTCCGTGACCAAAAGTTAAGATAAACAATACAATGTGCACTTTATGACCTTATAGTCAAGTATTCTCCCACTGTGAACACGCCCGCGGAATATTTGGCGGGTTTCTCAATCTCTTTTGCCATGGAGCAGTTCAGAAGACCATTTGACAAACATTCACGATATGTAATGACCAAAACTGATTCCCTGGCATTCAGTTCATAAAAGGGGAAACAAGTCGTCGAGGCTGCCCATTACTAACGTCTGCGTCATGCTAATACTGAATGCGTACTTGACACTGCAGGACACAAGAAAACTTCTTCCGAGGATAGATCCTGGTTTATCGCAGCAATCAACTGGAGATTTACCAGAACTAATTCATAAAGGCTTATAGCGCAGTATCGTAGTTCGCAGAAGGTGGCAAGAAAGTCATTGTACCTGAAATCGATAGTTTGACCGTCGCAAGAGGTGAGCTCCACAATTGAACAGTGTGGTGGACGCAGGCTTACATAATGCGTGAATTTGTTTACAGTGAATTAGACTTGCGATTCACTTATTTCACAATCTCTTTCCACACCCATTAAGTGCTGGTGGCAATACACCTGCTGTCCTCCGCTTGCACAGAAATGCCAAGACGATCGGAGATAGGCTTAGAGACAGCGGCTAGCAAAGTTAAACAGACAGTCTACGCATGCCACACATGACGTTGAGCCCAAATCCGTACGTACCAGATTCCCTTCAAGGGAGTTTTCTGATCACACGTACATAATTGAGAGTGTCCTAAAAGTCGTATCCTGACGAAAAAACGCAGCTTGACCGGCGATCTTAATTTGGACCGAGTTGCCCTGTCAGTTGGCAACCGTCCAAGCCATATTTTTTAGTGCCTCATGGTAGGTTCGAAGCGCTTTTTGTTGTCTATACTGAGTAACGAGACACTGAATTCCAGCCGCGTCTACCCTTATCATTCTCCTACGTTCTGTGGACTATTGGCTTGTCCGATTGATTGTAGGGGCTGACCTGGCGAGAAATTCGGTGCAACGCACATGACAGCCAAATTACTATGTTCTCCTGGAGTCCCACTATAAAACTTAATAGTAGGATTGCTGTATAAGTCATGAATGGTTTTACTTTGTGTACATAAGTCTGAAAAATCTCATGTGATAGATGAATGAGTAGAAGAACGTGAACATAGGGCAAAAGAGGCTCATTTAATGACTGTATTTGCGACTACGGTGCGGATAAGGACGGCGTAAGTGACGTGTGCTGTTCGGAGCTGTAGATGATAGTTCTCCAGTACTGATACTATGGATTCGCAGATGACCAACGAGGGAATTTGGAGCTGAGTCTGCCCTTTGCACCATAAACTGTCCTAATTTTGGTGCCCACAAGGATGTTCGGGTGAGCTAACCTCGAGGACAGGTAAAACTGAAGTTTTTTCATCGACGGTTATGCTCCTTTGTGCCGAGTTCTGGCTGATGGAGTTGACACTTTAGGGAATCTAAAGTTGCCAAATAATGCTAATCTGGGCCTCGATATGGCATTGAATTTGGGGACATATCGACAGGGAGTGAGGCTTGGTCGCAGTGGTCCGTGGTCTCTAATGCGTTTTAGTTCTGCCTCAGCCTCTTATATTCCGTTGCGATTGCTGGAAGCTGCTTCGGTATCTGCTCGTAATCCATCCTCACGATGCGGTCACTCAAGCGTAGTTTGATCCGCTTCACACGTCGCACTTGTTCAGTATGCCAGTCAACCCTATGACGCGAGGGGCCGGATATAGTTCCTATCCTTCACATTTAGATGGAAGTGGCTGAGTATCATTGCCTGGTTTTGGCAAATTTTTCATGTCTGTGCACCCTAAAAGATTTTGATCGAGATAATTACTCCATATATACAGATTTCATGTTGTAGAAGATTTCACAGCGCTACGGCGACCGTTACAGATCCGGAGGGCTGTTTCACCACCTAATTTGTCCAATGCCTCGATGCACTTGAGGGATTCGTCAACTTCTGCAAGACGATAACGACTGACATCTATTCTCTGTCGAAAGTTGGCTCTGGTTGGCACAGCAGTTTCCTTCTTGTCGAAGTTTCCGCATCAGAAGGCCAGAAGGCCCAGACTTCTTTGTACATTCGCTTCATTTAGTGGGCTGAGTGCACGGTCATCAGAAATACACGGAGGTCATGTATCATGACCTTGGAAGCCTGTTTGATGACTTGCTTATGACGAATGTTGAATAGTTTCCTGTCGGTTCGTTAGGTTATGCCAATGCCTGACTAATCCTCTACGTAGGCGTCCATTTGCTGTGCGGATAACAGGAGACCGGCGAGTTTTATGGTGAGGGCGTATTTTTGTTTCATCCAATCTGCCACAGCAAAGTCTGTCGAAGGGCAGTTTCTGAAACCAAAAGTCAGGAAGAGAGATATAGTGCGACAATCTTTACCGTGCTCAGAATAACCCAAGCGGTTCAAAAGGCGACAGTAACAATTGATCAAAAAAACTGCTGGTCGGTCGTTGATGTGGTTGGTCTCGGCGCAGTGTGTCCAGACGGAGGAGGAGGGAATGCGGTAGATACTGCGCAAGCCTACTACCGCTCTAAACTAATTTACGCACAACTCACCGCCTCTTATAAGTCCTGCTGTGGAGCACACGGAGGACATCGTCGAAATCGACAGCCGAACTATCGTGCGCGTATGTGTGAACACACACGCACACACCCTCTTCAGTCTTATGTTCTCTGCTATGCTGATGAACGCCTGCCGTGACGAACGCCCCGCGATCCGCATCGCCTGCAGGACGGACGGCCACCACAATCAACGACGGATGCACTTCCGATCACACGTATCCGCAGCCACAGTTAACGAACTTCTCTTCGCCGAAGACCACGCCCTCAACGTCACCTCGGAAGGGGACATGCAAAGGAGAATGAATTTCTTCCCCGCCGCCTGCGAGAACTTCGGTCTGATCACCAACACTGAGAAGACTGTTTTCATGCCCCAAACGCCATCCAGCACAGCCCCCACAACGTGCCGCAAATCACCGTGAACGGAACTCAACTGCAAGCGGTGGTCAACTTCCCGTAGCTGGGCAGTACTCTTTTCTGCAGCACGAAAATCGACGACGAAGTAGCCCGCCGGATTTCCAAGGCCAGTCGAGCCTTCTGCCGTCTTCAAAGTATAATTTGGAATCGCCCCGGTCTTCATCTCCGCAAGAAACTGAAGATGTAGAAGGCCGTCATCATCCGATCTTGCTCTATGGAGCAGAGACTTGGACGGTATACACGAAGCCGGCACGCGGATTCAATCACTTCCGTCTCAGTTGTCTTTGACGCATACTGAAGTGGAGGTGACAGACCCGAGTCCCGGACACTGATATATTGGAGCGGACTGAAATCCTCAGAATCTACGCCATGCTGAGACAACTGCAACTTTGTTGAAGTGGTCATCTCGTGCGGATGGACAACGACCGGCTACCCAAATGAGTATTCTGTGGAGATGTTGCCACGGGTTCCCGCCGCCAAGGAGGCTAAATTCGTCGATACAAGGATACTCTGAAATCCTCCCTTAAGCATTTGCAAATCAATCCGGCCAACTTCGAATACCTCGCCTGAGACGGACCGACCTAGCGGAGGTCAGTGAAGACAGACGCCGCGATCCACGAAGCCAACCGCATCGCCGCCACGAAAGCTAAACACGAAACCCGCAAGTCTCAGCTGCGCCCACCCCGCAGTGCCATCGCACAACCGCCTCCAATGCGTCCGCAGTGTCAGCGGACATTCCGGGCGCGGATTGAATATGCCGGACACCTTCCGATCAACTGCATCATTCGGACAGCGCCAGTCGTCGTCCCACCGTTTACCTTCTCCTCATCATCTGCGTCGCCGAATAACTATGACCGTCCTCCCGAATCACCGCTCCCTTCCTCCTCCTCCTCCTCGTCCTCGTCCTCGTCGTCGTCGTCCTCCTCCTCCTCCTCCTCCTCCTCCTCCTCCTCCTTCTCCTCCTATCCCTGCCCCCACTTCTTCTCCTCATCCGCTGCCACAACGTCGGCCACTGTGGCGCCTGTCACGCACATAAGGACTACCCCAACCTGACACAACACCAAACACCAACGCCACCACCGTCGACATCAGCCGTGAGGACCTGGACAACACCTGTCCTCACTGCGACCGCACCTTCACCGGCCTGGTCGGTCACTTGCGAATCCATCGCATAGAGGCTGGAGAACCAGTGCCTGCAGCACCAACGTGCACCTGCCGCACCCGCCTCCACTGCCCACACTGCCCTCGCACATTCATGCATCGCATGGGCCTATTCGGCCACATGCGCATTCAAGAAAACCTGCGGTAGACAACCGCCGACGCACCACAACATCACATCACTCCTCACAACCAGCTCACCGCACATCAACGTCAGCCAACGCAAGCACCCAACAGCCACCTCACGCGCAGGTAGGAAGTGTTCGTATCGACTCGGTCTCCGTGCGGCTCCTGTCGCATGGAGGACTCGAACCTAAGAGTAACCCGACGCGTCAAGCGCCGCGGATTTTAAGGCTGCTGACTGAGGCCACAACTCGGTCCAAGCGGTCCGTCCAGTTATGAATGAGACTTGTGTGGAGTGGGGGACTGATGGGCTGGGAGCTGGAGCGAAACAGCTCCTTCCAAGACACTCTCACACATGTGAGAGATACGTCGCTCAACTATCGTTGTGCGAAGTCCTGGTGCTCCTGTTTGGGTGGCCAGGGTGTGCATGTGACACGTAGACGAGGCCACTAGATATGTCAGCCACCGCGCCCATTCCCCGCTCCTGTCACTTGACCGGTTCAGACAGTGGCTGGGGCCTGGGAATTTGGAGGGAGTGAGAGGTCGACGACTCGGCGCACTTTCCTCACTATAAACAATCTGACACGCTTGAAGCTTTCACGGTGCGCTAAAAGCCGTGGCTTGGAAGGTTGCTAACTGACGGAATAATTTGACCTCGCAGTCGTCCCAGTGTTGCGTGTTTGTGTGGAGTGGCCGGCTGGCGGTCTGAGAGTCAGGCTGCAATGGGTCCTTCTTAATGTGGCCTTTATGGCACTCTCACTCCGTGGGATCCGAGAAGGGTATGGTGGCACGCCTAGGGGCGGTTCTGGCTTCGCTAGCCATCTGCGCCCTTTCCCATCTCCGGTCTTCTTGTCTATGTCTTGACGCTAGGCCAGGTCGGGGGGAAGGAGTGCGTTAGATGCTTCGCAAGTCTGCACCTACTGTAAACAAACTCACGCGCAAGTCACTGTGCATGCTGCTGCTTGTTGTGTAGCCCACGTTAGACGTTGTAAGCAACGAAGGTCTAACCGTCGTGCGTGTGTTTGAACCATATCCGTCTGCGCCAAACATTTAACCACTATGTATCGATCGGCGTCACAGTGTCGGCAGACATTATGCTACGTCGTATGCAGCGCAGGCAATTAACTGACTAGAGGTTTGGTTGCTGTTACCACGCTAGTTGAGAACCACAGGTTTCCTCATGCTCCCAAGTTGTCCGTCGCATAAAAAGCCAAGTCGCACTGAAAATGTCCGATCTTAACACGAAGCCTTCAATATACTCAGATTTCTTTAGCATGTATATCAGAAACCTTGTGAGTATGCGCTTTCAAGCCACAAGATCTACAATCATTCAACACAGACGGATCTGCCGCAGAAGCAAAAATTCAAGAGTGCACGTTAACCGCTGCGATCCTCAGAAAAGGTTTAAAGTAGGAGAAAAAAAAACAAATGCCAGTAGCGGGAATACGTTGTCACGTCAGCCTGGCGACCGCACACGAGATACGCGTCGGGAGTCCGCTGAGACATGCTGGCCTGTGTGCTGAGGGATATGAATCAAACATTAAGGCGTTCTTTTGCGTAAAAGCCACTCTGGAGGAAGTTTAAACCCACACCACCTGCAATCGACTTTACGCCCTTCGGAACGTGTATCTCTCTTAGATCGCCAATTTCCAACTATAAACGAGCCAGTTCGCATGAGACTGGAGCTGTCCCCGTTTCTAGCGCCTTGACCGTTAACGTTGTTAAAAGTTAAAGGATATTCAAAATTGCCCCAGTGAATTGGATTAGTACGACGGTGAAAGTAGGGGTGAATGCGGCATATTATTTCGTCTGTTGATTCGACTGCGTGTTAGGCATCCTGGAAACGCGATTAGATTGAATGTGATCGTTAGCATTTGTGGAATTCATTTTCGAGTTCTTTCCTCGTAAAGGTGAAATTGAACCGCTGAGTCTCACTATGGTTTACGAATTCTGTTTCGTGGAACAGAAATCGTACGCAAAACTATATATTATCGTTTTAGCAGAAGATCTGGAGATGTGGGGGGAAACGATGAATAATTAGGCAGAGGATCTCTGTCTGCACGTGCCATAAGGCTTCCGGTTCATTTTTACTGGCCAAACCCTGTTTTGTATGAACAGCCTCGCCGTGTAGGGAGTAACCCTCGACCGTCATCATCTAGTGCAGTTTGTCGTTCTACCGGTTTCGGGGCCTGGCCGTCGCGCAAAGGACAGCTTTGTGGAATCAAAGATAGGAGCTGGTGGTCGGCCGCTCAAAGAAACAACAACGTACATATAGGCGCATCCCCTACGCGGACATCTTGTGCATCCCTAACTAGTTGTCTAGTGGGACAAGCATACAGTGAGGGCTGCCAAAAATAACTGGGATTCTTGATAGAACCTCAAGCTCTGTGTTCTTATTGTTACCCCTGATACACGCAGAAGGCAGAGAGAGAACATAAAATGTCGTTAGTGGACGCGCGTTACTCTCCATAGTCCGCCTAAATCCTGTTTAAAGCAGCTCGACACTGTGCGCTAACTCGGAAGGTAATCTTGACCAAAAACGTGACTGCGTTGATTTTTCATTGAGATAGCATTTATAACAAATCTTACTTACCTACCCATTCAATAAGTGACAATTATCTTAAAGAAGATGAATGTGCGATCACTAAAACGACAGGGCATTAACCAGAGTTTTCTGACTTGTACAGGAGCCCATATTCGCAGACTAGGAGAGTTTAATGAAACTTGAAGAGTTAACAGTAAAAAGCAGGAAGCGAGAAGGGTATAATGTTCGTGACCGGGGGGATTTCATGCCGCAGTGGTCACACGACACGGTGTCGGTGTGTATTCATGACTTCGAGCTAAACCGTGCCACCTCGCCACTTTAGTATAGCACGTGATAGCAGGAAATATGCAAACGTGTCTGCTTGTGGAGTCAACATCAGTCACCCAAGCAGTCCCCGCCCCCTCTTACTGCCGACTCGCACCATTATCCGCTGATCGCGAAATGGAATTGGCGACCTACCTCCCGAGTGTGAGTGGCTAATTGAGACAGCAGATCGCCTCTCTTAACGGCCAGTGTGTGCTCGAGTATTCACAAACCGAGTCGACGTGCTGTCTGGCCTGCTTAATGGCAAAGATATTCATAGCATGACATTTGGTCATTTTCGCCCGGCTACCTACCTGCATCCGGTCGGCCGTTCAACTGCATGACTCTGGTACACACGGTAGCTGCCAAACGATGGGTGGTGCTCATGCTAAACCGCTCGACGATGCTCTGCGTCGTCCTGATACGCCATTTACACACGGTTGAAGGTGTCCGAGCGTTGCAGTCTCTCTCTCCCGTCTGTTCTTCATGGGTTAATGAAGTTGTTTGGGTAGCCTTTCCCTGCCAGTTCGTCCTGAAGATGCCGTAGTTCTTGCACTCGTCCCTCTGGTTCGTTGGTTTTTTTTGTTACTTGAAAGGGCACCTAAACACAACCGCGTTTGATCACCATCGGGAGGGAACTACGAGAGCTAAAGGGCTGGGTTTCGTTAGCCGCCTTCCATATACCGTGATGTTGGGTTTGCTATTGGGTTTGCGGGTGATGGGGCGGGTCAAGGAGGGGCAACTGTTTTGTACTGGATGTCGGGTAAGATGCTGTCAAACAGGTTCTGAATGTTTGAAGTCAACCCAGACACGAATGCTATTGCCTTCCTCCCTAAAGTTTGACGGATAAACTGTTCACTTGTTGTGGCAACTTTATAGTCTCTGTTGATCTGCCCTTGTATGCATCCTTAAGCTTAGATCAGAGCGTAAACTGTTTTAGGGATCTTGTTTGCACCAGGAACATGGGACTTGCCTATTCGCCCCAATAGCAATTATTTTTGTTGCTGCAAACTTCTGGTATATCGAATACGCCCAATCAGCATACGCGGCCTCATGGTGCAAGTTTACCTGCTAGATGAATTTACTACTTTTGTAATCCGTAATATCATTGAATATTTCCCATATAAGTGATTTCCGAACCATAGCGATTTTCCCCAGAATTTGCAAGGGTAATGACTCAAATACTTTTTAGTGGAAGTATGTGACTAACAGATCCTGAGAAACACTTAGGCGGGAGCCAATCGTTTGATTACCAGCAAATCCCGGTTGATCTCAAGTTCTTAATACTAATAAAAACATATCACAATTTTGAAAAAAGTCTAGTCTATGGCTTGAAAGTCTTCACTAGAAACCAGACAGTGCGCCAGGAGCATGTAATGAGAGAGGCCAGCGTTATCGAAAGCAACATAGTAGCCGCCGAGCACCTCCAGGGGTTCACTTGTTCATTGCTCTCATGCCATCGCTGCGGATTCCCAATTTCCTCAAGTTTTAAATGCACATAACAGAGTAAATCCCCGAACTGCGACTGTTCATCTGCGGGCGCAGACGACAGATGGGGCAGTTTAAGTAAAATGAACATACGTGAAAACTAGTAAATACACAAGAAAATCTTTGCGTGGTCACGGTTAACTCGAAAATCTCTGTCAATAGAAAACCGCAAGTGGTCTTCTGCGCAAAGCAAGGGCAAATCTATCAAGGAGGGATAACCCATGCAACAATTCTAATTGCATTTATGTCATATTAACAAAAATATTTACGCCAAAAACAAGATAAATGCTATTGAAGAAATAAGCCGTTGTTTTGCACAAATCTGGAAACTCAGGGCTTTACTATACCTAAGAAAATAATGCGTGGACTTGTAGCAAAATCATAGGTACCAGCCTTTTGTTTTCGTCCAGAGGGCTAATATGAACATTTGAGCCAA